CCTAACTCCCCACCTACACTCACCTTTACTGGCTCCATCCCCGCCTCTTCGACCTGTTTGTTTCCTCTCCACCTATCCTCTCCTCTATCCATCTTCTATCCGCCTCCCACTCTCTCCCTATTTATTTCAAAACCCCCTTCCCCTCCCCCTTTTCTGATGAAGGGTCTAGGCCCGAAACGTCAGCCTCTCTGCTCCTGTGATGCTGCTTGGCCTGCTGTGTTCATCCAGCCCTGCACCTTGTTGTCTCGGATTCTCCAGCATTTGCAGTTCCTACTATCTCTAGTTCAGTTTGGTGGTTGTTTTTGACAAGCACAATCTGTATAGGACAAAGGGCGTTTTTCTGTGCTACGGGCCTCTGTGCCTGTCCAAAATCAAAGAATCATCTTAGGACTCAGCGGCAGCAGCAACAACTGCTGACATCTGATCTTGTGACAGATCTTCCACCCTTTGCGCAAATTTGCTTCAACATTCCAGTTATTTCAAATTTGTCAACAATAAACAGCAGCAGGTGCAACTATAAAATTAGCCTGAGTGATGCTCAGGAATCAACCAGCAAACTACTCTCTTGGCTTTAAGCACATTTCTGAGCCCACTTAAAAGACACACTCTATCCATTGTTTTACATTGGTTCACTCTGTTATCCACTACATTTGGGATCACAAAATTGACCTTGTCAAATGGGGTATTATGACAACTGCCGAAAAACACGTGCGGCTCTTTTTTTTTTTTTTTTTAAAAAAGCAGAGAACAATTACGTTCTTACGTCTATCAAACATACCTCCGAGAGTCAACTTCTTTAAGCACTTCCTTCCAGCATTTGAAGTTATTCAGTCAATAACCCCTTAAGAGACAAAATTAGTATTTCCAAGAAACCTTACCCTCAAGAGGGAGATGAGCACTCATCGTCGAAGGTTGACATTCTTCCTTTCCATCACAATCAGGAAAATCTGTTGGCTCAGACCACATATCAGAGACCTCCGTGATTGGGCTCAATAATGGTTTCTTTGAAGCATATTCACGTTTTCCATAAAGTTCCTTTTGCACTTTCTTTCTATATTTGCCTTTTGTTACCTGAAAAACAGTTTTGCTGCCATCAGTTCTGTTTTCCTTCATGTACTGTTTGAAATGTAGGCATCCCTTAATTATGTCATGCGTTCCTCAGTCAAAAATTCAGCAATCATTTCACTGCAGTATACTTCAATACACGACCTGCATGATCTTGCATGTGATGGACTGAGCATTTGAAGGGATGTACATTTTATTACCACTTGTACTGAAATTAGAGCCACAACTGCTCACAAATTATAATAACTGCTCTCTGAAAGGAATATATTGGCCATGATGCACTTGGAGATATTCTGAAGAAAAGTGTTATGCAATACATCAAATACAGATTCCTGCCTTCCCTCATGTCAATTTTTCAATCTTCTCCTTAAATCCCTCCATGGCTTTGCATGGTCAACACTGCAACTTGGAGCAAAGAACTCCGTGATCCTCCAACTGTGGCCTCTTGAGCATTCTCAAATACCCTTCTATTCGTGGTGGTGTCCTCAGTTTTCTACATTTCACGCTCTGGAAATCCCTCCTAAACTTGTTGGTCCTCATCCAAAATGCCTCCGAAAGCCAACTTCGCCAACCAAGTATTAGGTCACCTTGCCTAATACTTTGCAAGGCTCAATTGGGTCAGGTGGTGCACCTTGAGAAGTCTTTTCAAACATCTTGCTCTGTGAATATTTTGTTATTAATGTTTGCCAATGACTAGTTCTTCACAAATGTATAGGTCTGTCTTACATTGGCAAGCATTCGCTTCAGTTGCTTTGGAATGGAGTACTAATCATGAAAAACTCAAATGCCACCAACAAGATTTCACGTTGTTCTTGATTGGCTTATCTTAGCACCAGATTGGTTCAGCACATTTATTGGTTTCAGTTAAAGGCATCTTAGCAGTTTTAGCACAGCAAACAATTCAGTTCATGACAACATGTTTGATCTTTCAACTAAGCGATCTCCATATGTGACCATCCTGCTTGCTCTCTCCACTTAAGAATTCCCATGCCACTTGGAAATATTAACTTGACATCTAAATAACACAGCTGCAAGAAGTTTCAACCTCTATTTTAATCCTTACAGCCCTAATGCTGTTTTCACTCTTGCCTATGTAAAGCATCATTATTCGGACTTTGGGTGCCCCTGTTTAGGACTGATATTGTGCATTGATAGTGATGTGAATTAACCAAGGCAAACAAGCGTATATCTAAGTACACAGCTTTGCTGATGTCTTAATTTTGATATTTGCCAACTGAGCAAAATGACAACATCTTAAACATCTAATAATAGCTTTATTTTGAAAAGCTCTTCATGAAATTCCATTTGGTCATTTATCAGCTTTTACAATACATATTGACAATCTCATCCACCTTGTTAAGCTTGTAATGCAATTCAGCACAAGTTGAAAATAAATTTCCTTAACTTTCAAGAAGCAACAAGCCCAACAAGTCTGCTCTATCATTCAGTGAGATCACAGCTAATCTGTTAATCCTCCACTCCACTTGGCTGCCTTCTCCCTATGACTTTTGATTCCCTTCATCTCTCAAACTGGAATATATGTCATGATCACATTTCTACCCCCCTTGTATGGGCATTAAATCACACAGAATCACAACTGTCAGTGAACAAATTCCTGATCATCTCTGTCCAAACTGGATCTTATTCTGAGAGTAAGCCGTCTGGTCCTCGACTTCCACACAACCTCTCTGCAACCACCCTCTACAAGTAACTTCACATTCTTCTAAACTCCAATGAGGACAGACCCAATCGATTCAATCTCTCCTCAGAAGACAGTCCCTCCATTTCCATGATCAACCTACTGAACCTTCACTGGACAGCTGACAATTCCAGTATGTCTCTGCTGCAACAAGGCCATCATCTTTGTTCACAATATTCCACTTGTTGACTGATTGGTGCCTTGTGTAATTTTAGCAAGACCTCCATATTTTTATCTCAACTGAGACCTTATCAAATGCCTTCTGGAAATGTGTTACGTCCATTGTTCTCCCTTCACCTACGTTGTTCGTTACCCTTGCAAAGAATTCCAAAAAAATTCTGAGGCATGATTTTCCCTTCATGAAACCGTGCTGACTCTGCTTGATTCTATTATGTATTTTTAAATTCTGCATTTTCAAAAATTATGTATTTCTAGATTCCAACATTTTCCCCAATGACAGACGTTAAGCCATCTGGTTTATAGTTAGCAGTTTTGTTCCCTTCACTTTGTGATTATGTATTACATCGATAGTTTTCCCATCATACAGCATTTTACCAGAATCGAAGGATGCTACAAAGATGGCAACTACTGCATCCACCATCTTATTAACTACTTCCTTTAATATCCTGGGATGAGTCCCATCAGGTCTAAGGGACTGGTCTTTCTTTAGCTCACTTCTTTTTTCCACCTTTACTTGTCTTCTGCATTTGCAATTGTTACTCCTCCTCCCAGTTTTGCTTGTTAGTTTGTATTCTCAGAATGCTGTTTGCATTTCCACTATGAATAGAGATGCAAACTTTATAGTTAACTTCACAGCTATTTCTTGGTTCCGCATGATTATTCCCCAAGCTCTGTTCTTTAAGAGGCTATATTTTTTCCTTCATTCCCAGGATGTGGGCATCACTGACTAAGCCAGCACTTTTGCCCATCGCTAATTGTCCAGATGGCAGTTGGCAGTCAACCACGCATTGCGTGGTTCTGGAGTCACAGGGAGACCACAGCAGGTAAGGACGGCAGTTTCCTTCTTGAAAGCACATCAATGAACCAGATGGGTTTTGACAATGCTTCAGTGGTCATAATGAGACTCTTCAGTCCAGATTTTTATTGACGTCTAATTCTCCTGTGGCTGGACTCAAACCTAGTCCTCAGAATATGATCTGCGTCTCTGGATTAATAGTCCAGCAATAATACCACGAGATCATTGCTTCCCCCAAGGTTCATTTTGGTTTCTCTCTTCCCTCTTGCCATGTTATATTTGAAGAATCTGTTGCTGTTCCATAATGATATGACTTGCTAGATTACCCTCCAAGTTTATTTCAGTCCACCCTCTGATTTTTTTGGCCATCTTTTGTTGATGCTGATACTTTACTGCATGCTCTGGCTCATCAATAATATTTACCTTTTTTTTTCCAAGTTTCATGCTATCCTTAACTGCCTTGGTTAGCCATGACCCTTATATCCTTTCAAGAATCCTCCCTTCTCTATGCGTCATATCTTTGTCGGGAACAACAGACATGATTTTCTAAACCCTGTCATTATTTCTCAATCATCTTGGCTGAACTTCTTTCCTCATCAGCTCCAACTCGCTCTGCTCCCGTTCTGATGTGATGACCCTTTTAGCACAGTTGTTCCCAACCCAAGAATCTCCCTCTCAAAAATGAATGGTAAATTTTACAATGTAATGGCATCACTATTCTCAGGGATTTTTTGGTCTCAGTTCCTTTAATGAAATGTGCCTCATTACACATTACCAGATTCAAAATAGCCTAATAAAATCAAAAGAAAAACATTGTATGAATGTTTGTCAAAGCCAAGGAACTGGTTCTTACATAGCAGATATTCAATGCAGCAAGCCATGAAGTTACAATAAAATCATGTAAATAGCTAAGCCTAAGTTTTAAATGCTCCTTAACCTCAAGCAAAATGGAATTCAAATCATGGTCTATGTAACAACAATTATTTCAATTGAGATCAATGTTGTATCATGAAACAAAAACACAAGATGGAGAAACTGTGCAAGTCTGGTAGCATCTGTGGAGATAGAAAAAAAAAATTAACGTTTCCAGTCTAGAATAATTCTTCTTCAGAACTGAAAAGGGGCTGGAAAATGGTGCATTTCATGCTGCAGCCAAAAAAAAAGAGCCGGTGGGGGGGGGTGGTGAAAAGGAGGCACAGCGGTGGAACAGTGAGTCGAGCAGCCTGAGAGGGTGCCAGAACAAATGACAAACATGGTAAAGAGGGGTTAGAAACGTAAAATGGGTGCAAATGACAGGTCTGAAATTGGAGATAACAGCTCCACTCTATTGACAGCAAGACAGTTCCCTGCCTTAAGAAAAACGAACGACAGAGATCAGGCTCTAAAGTTACAAAACTCAATACTGCATTCTGAAGACTATCAAGCGACAAACCAGAAAACAATTGGTTGCTGTAACTGCTGTTGAGATTCATCCAAATACTGAAGCGGGCCCAGGGTGACAATGTTAATACAGAAGCAAGGTGGCTTAATAAAAATCGAAACCAACCTGAAGGTCAGGATCATTTCTTCGGACAAGACTGAAGTTCCACAAAGCGGTCACCAAGTTAGTATTTGGTCTCACCAAATGTAACAGACCACAATGAGATTAAAAGTTGTACACATCAAATGTCACCACTGGCAGGTATGGTTGGGGCGTTGCACAGTCAGGAGGGAGGTGGTGAATGGGCAAGTGTTACACTTCCTGCAATTGCATGAGATTGCCATGAGCAAGGACAAGGAGGAGGAAATATGTATTAGGAGCAGTGAAGTTGACGAGGGTGTAGCAGAGGGATCCTCATGTCATACTGACAGTGGAGGGGAAGGCAAGATGTGTTACTGGTGTTGTCTTGCTGGAGGTGGGGGAATAATAGATGAAGATCTTTTGAGTATGCAGACGAGTGGAGCGTGAACTGAGAAGGGAAATCCTACGGTGAGCCTGACATCAATGGTGGGCAAGTTGTTGGAGGCAACCTTGAGGGACAAGATTTACTTGTATTTGAAAAGGCAAGGACAGATTTGTGCGTGGAAAATCGTATCTCACTAACTTGATTGTTGCTTCTTCAAAAAACAAATCAGAGGATTGATGAAAACAAAACAGTCGACGTGATCTATATGGACTTCATTAAGGCATTTGACAAGGCTCCGCATGGTAGACTAGTTAGCAAGGATCGATCACATCGAATTGAGAGAGAGAGAACGAGCCATTGGGATACAGAACTGGCTCTCAGGAAGACAGAGGGTGGTGGTAGTCTGTGACTAGTGGTATGCCGCAAGAATTGGTGCTGGGTCCATTGCTTTTCATCATTTATATAACTGATTTGGATGTGAACATACGAGGTATCATTTGCAAATTTGCAGATGACACCAAAATTAGAGGTGTGGTGGACAGCAAAGGAGGTTACCTCAGAATACAACAGGACCCTCAGCAGATGGGCCAATGAATGGTAGATGGATTTTAATTTAGATAAATGCAAGATGCTGCATTTTGGAAAAGCAAATCAGAGCAGGACTTATATACTTAATGATAAGATCCTGGGGAGTGCTGCTGAACAAAGGAGACCTTTAAGTGCAGGTTCATAGTTCCTTGAAAGTGGAGTTGCAGATAGACAAGATAGTGAAGATGATTGCTTGCCTTTACTGGTCAGTGCATTGAATACAGGAATTGGGAGGTCATGTTATGGCTGTGCAGGACCTTGGTAGGTCACTTTGGAACATGCGTTCAGTTCTGGTCTCCCAGTTATAGGAAGGATGTTGTGAAACTTGAAGAAGTTCAGAGAAGATTTACAAAGATGTTGCCAGGTTTGCAGGTTTTGAGGTATGGGACGAGGCTGAATTGGCAGGGGCTATTTTCCCTGGAGTGTCACAGGCTGTGCAGTCATCTTGTAGATGTTTATAAAATCATGAGGGGCATGGATAGGGTGAATAGCCAAGGTCCTTTCCCTGGGGTGGGGGAGTTCAAAACTAGAGAGCACAGGATTAAAGTGAGAGGAGAAAGATTTAAAAGAGACTTGAGGGACAACTTTTTCCCACGCAGAGGGTGGTGCGCACATGCAATAAGCTGCTAGAGGAAGTGGTGGAGGCTGGTATAATTCCAACATTGGAATTATACCAGCATCTGGATGGGTAGATGAATAGGAAGGGTTTAACAGGAATATGGGACAAATGCCAGCAAATGGAACGAGATTAATTGAGGATACCTGGTCAGCATGAATGAGTTGGACCAAAGGGTCTGTTTCCATACTGTACAGCTTTATAACTCCAAGACTCTTAGTAAAACCTAAAGAACTATGGATGCTATAAATCAAACAAAAACAGCAATTGATGAAAAGCTCAGTAGGTCTCGCAGCATCTGTGGAGAGAAATCAGAGTTAACACTTCAGGTCCAGTAACCCTTCCTCAGATCAAGAGGACCCCTGTTGCTCTTCTGGGGAAGAGTTGATGGGTGAAAGGAGAATTAAATGTGGGAGAGGGGGATCAGACATAGTTGAATGCCCTACGATGGCGGAGTCCTCAGTTAAAGGAAAAAGGAGAACATGCTGGCAACACTGCAGCCGAAGGTGGCATCATTAGAACCAATAAGACAGAGATGGAGATACTTGAAGACTGGAATGGAGTGCTTGCAGGAGCGAAAGTGTAGTCAAGATAACTCTGGGAGTCAGTGGGTTTCTGATGGATATTGGTGAGCATCCCAACTTATTACAGACAAAGACGACTGCAAAGGGATGACTTTTTTGAACCCCAAATGATAGCAGGAAGGAGCACCAATAACATCACTGATGTGCCAAAGACCTGATGTACCAAAGAACTGAAAGTAGACATGTTCCATCTATTCCACAGAGACAACAGGCATAACTAGGACCTATGCAGGTACTCACAGTCACACCTTTGAAATGATATTTTAAAAATAGCCCATGGAGGGAACAAAATGAAACTGACAGAATTTGGAGTTAAAATCACGACATGGTTTCAAGAATCAACAAGGACTGAGGCATGCACAGTACAAACCAATCTTGATCTGCCACGTTGAGAAACTGTAGCTGAATCCAAGAGGCTACTCAGAATAGTCAAATAAATTCTGCCCAAATTAAATGATTGCACTTCACCTCTCCAAAGCACAATGGGTGAACTTCGTTCAGACGAATCTGCCCAGTTTCAAATCCCTTAGAATAGGTTGGCCGAAAGAACAGTCTTGCAAAAGGGCAAAAGTACAGCTATAAGAATACATAATTACGAAAAGAACATCAGCCCTCAGATAAGCACAACAACTTTGGCCCATTTAGTTTACCCAAGTGTGACCAGAGGAGTGACCCATAAAATAAATGAAGGGCAACACAATCCCCATTGACTGATATTGATTCAGTAAATTGCGCAGGACGATGCAAAATTAGGAATAGTCTGGGCAAGATAATGCGACCAAGTATCTACAATGTTTTACCACTTTCTCTGGCAGCTTATTGCATATGTGATGGCTGTTCACTCAGTGCACCCTGAAGAGGCAAATGAATCAACTTGTATCACAAACAAATTTAGACTTTCACAGCTTAATGCTTTGTCCACATCATCTCTTGGGTGGATTTATGGGATCTAAAAGAACGTTGAGTATTTTCTCCTTACTAGCTCGAGAATTTCAACAAAAGAAGTGCTTTGTATCACTGCTTGGAGTATCATGTATTTGAATGCTCTTTGTACACCAGCACATCAAATCACATAGTTAGTCAGTAGCTTAGAACTTTGTTTCAACTGGAAGTCGGTCGGTCTAGTTTCTGAGGATGAACACACAATACTCAATTGACAAAAGCAGTAGCAAAAGGTTGGGCTGAACAAATGATCAAAGAAAACATTAGTCCAATTTAGCAGCACCACCAGTTTAGCTTCAACAACTTAGATAGGTTTCATTTGCTTTGCCCACAAAAAAATCTGACCTTTACAACTAACTGATTAGCTAACCAAAACTCTTCACAATATAACAGAAATTTGCATACCACAGTGGAATTCTCTGAAATGGTGTTAACCTTGTTCTTGATCCGAGTCGATCTGCGGGGTTCCTCATTTTTGGGCGTTTGTGTCAGGTTTTCAATTTTAACCTCTTGATTAGATTTTGGGCTTACTTCCACACTTCGGCAGAGAGATGGCACTGAAGACATAGTAAGACACATTGCATCATCAGTGACATTCTGAATCTCAAGGCATGCATCTTCAGCACAAGACCGGTTTTGCTCCTGGTCACCGACAGATCCGTTTATGGACAAATCACCGATCTGAATGTCACCATTGTTCAACTTTTCATCACACATGCAAGTCACTTGTCGCGCATTAGGCTCAATAGTGGATGCTGCTTTCACTCCAGAAGACCCCAAGTCACTAATTGATCCAAAACACTTGGGCTCATCAATTAGTCTTGACAATTTGGATTCATTCACAGGATCTGTTTTCTTTGCGCCCAGCACATTTCTACAAACCACACTGTTATCCCCAACTTGATTCTCCTTTCTAGAGTGCCTAGATGGATGATCCTGCATGACTTGTTTAATTTCTTCAACATGCATTTCCAAGACATCACAGGGGTACTCATCATTTTTATAGGGTTTCTTCTGAAGGTTTGAATCAAGTTTGTATTCTGACACTGAAGACTGCAGGTCAACATTAATGGGTCCAGAACAATCTCTCTCTTCATTACCAAGGTGAGTTTCAGCATTTTCCATGTTATCTATATAATAAAATAAAATTTGAATGATTAACAAGTAATTTTTGCCCAAATTTCCCCCTTACCTTGATTGTGGCTGCCCACATGGTTCATAATCAAGCCTGGAGATGAAGTACACAAAAAATGAACGGTCTTGTAATTCACTGTGTGAGTTGACAAAGAATGTCAGCAAGTTGTTCTATTTTTAGACATGTCACAGTCCAGCCCCAACGTACCTCATTTCTGGACATGAACCCAGTGGACATCAATCAACAATGAGTTTCTCCCAAATCCAATGCTCTGAAATTCACTTATCACAACTCAACCAGTGCCATGGCTCAGATCACGTAACTGAACTGAACTGAATCCAATATGAGGTATAAGAGCAAATCAGAGGCTAAGAATTCTGCAGCAAATAATTCACCTCCTCATTAATGGAAGTTAGTCCACCATTTACAAGGTACAAGCCAGGAGGGTGTTGGAATAAACCCAACTTGCCTGGACAAGTCCAGACCCATCAACTGAAGCAGCTTGACACCATCCAGAACAGTCTGCTTGACTGACACAACATGGGCAAACATTCACTTCCACACCACCATACCTCAGCAACAGTGTGTACCATCTCTAAGCTGCACCACATCAATTCATCAAATATCCTGCCTAAGACAGCACATGGCGAATTCACGACCAGTAATATCTACAAGGACGAAAGCAGCAAATACTTGGCAACATCTCCACTCCCAAGTTCCAGTTCAAGCCAATCACCATCCACTTGGAAAATCTATCCCTGCTAATTCAGTGTCATTGGATCAAAATCCTGGAACTCCCTCCCTCACGCAATTGCAGGTCTACCTACAACAAAGGGATTGCATCAGTTCAAGACAATAACTCACCATGACCTTCTCAAAAGCATTTCAGTATGGGCAATAAGTGCTCTTCTGGCCACTGATGCCCCCAATCCATGCACAAAAAGAAAAGAGGTTATGTACACTTGCAACATGCCTAGTGGTCCAAACCAAAACAAAAGACAGCAGGAAGACAGAACACACTATTTTCTTCTTATTTTTGCATTTGCAGCTCTCTTCTACAAGTTTGTCACTGCTGAGATGGAAGGAAACTGAAATTTCTGCTTATGTAAGAACAGATCATCTTAGTTCATTTGCATTTTAAGTATGTGCAATCGAGCATATTAGTTTAATTCATGCACAATTATATCATACTTAATTGCCGTCAAATTTGTTATTGACAATCACTGTTTACAAAATCACACTTCTTTTTTCCAAAAGTATAAACAGAATCTTCACTGTACGAGTAAAGTACTCCAAATAACTGCAGGCTACTGCTCGGAGATCAGTGTTGGTTGAATAAGACCATGTCTGAAACCGATTGATCGTCAGTCACTTCGCATCACCCAAGACTCAAAGAGCAATTACCATGAAGCTTTGCAAGAGAAGGATGGTTGCAAAGTTTGGATCCTTCAGCCCCAACTCCCAAATTAATTTTAAAAAATCCAAAAGAACTGCGGAGTCTGTAAATAGTAACAAAAACACAAGTTACTGGAAAAGCTCAGCAGGTCTGGCAGCATCTGTGAGGAAAAAACTCAGAATTAACGATGAAGGGTCCCCAGACCTGAAACATTCACTCTTTCTTTCTTCACGGATGCTGCCAGACCTGCTGTACCTTTCCAGTAACTTTTGTTTTTGTTCCCGAACTAATTGTGTTTACTACGTTGAAAAGCAGACACTTTGAATGAATATAACATGTCAAAGAACTGCTTTGGCTCTAAGAACTAAGAACTTCTCAAATACTAAGATGCAACTGGCTTTATATACTTTGTTACCTCATGTTTACACAAGGATACACTGGGTTGATTTTTTCCATTAGTTTTAAGACAGCATGCCACTTCGTAGTATTCTTTTGAATTAACTTGTGTTAAGCACCAACAATCCTAACAGGATTACAATGCTGCCAAACAAAAACAAACAAAAAAAAAAAAAAAAAAAAA